TATGAAAAGACCCCTTTTTTGGAGAGACTCCAGGTGATGGAGGGGGAGTTGTTGCGAAAAGGGCCTCCAGGCCACTGGAAAATACTTGTTGCATTTCAGAGAGAAGTTCAGAGAGGGAAGAGAACGCGGACGGCTCTACCTCGATACTTATCGGTAAATAAACATGCGAAAATCAATTTATAACTGGCATTTTGCTCTGTGTAGCGCTCGGCTATATTTGTCCAAGTTTCTAAGAAATTTTAATGGCTAGAAGGTACAAATTCGCATATTCTGAGCAGCAAAACTATTGGCCTAAAACCAAGATGGTCCCCAGCCCGATCGAAAATTGTACTCAGAATTTGTATGGCAGCTCAAAATATTTCGATACAAAATAGACATAGTAAACCAAAAATAGTCCCCTGAAAATCGGGGCAAAAGGCAAGTGTTCGACATTTTCGTTATTTTAACAAGTTTTCTGGAAGATCATTCAATAGAGCCTCTAAATCGCAAAAATCATTCGCGTAAAATCATCCATGGTGGCCCAAACCCCCGCCCATTAGCCGGCAGCCTCGTCCGATTTTTATGATTTAGTTATCTATCGAAAGCGCTCAGAAAGGTGCGACCAGAACGTCTCACAAGTTTTCGAAATTCCGGATTTTTAGCATTTTTCATGCAAAAATAACCAGATTTGCTGTCAAAAACTGAATTTAATCGGTTTAAACGTCATCCACGCTGTGTTTTTGCAAACGGCTTTCAAAAAGCTGTCGTTGGGCTGCCGGGAAAGGCGTGAAAATACTTAACCTGTGATTTTTGTAAAAAACCCATTTGTCAGAAAAATGTCAGAAAATCCGTTCTGCAAAAACGGTCGCGTTGGGAACTAACTGGGAATTGCCAAGATTCGGCGTGTTACGGGGTACATCAAACTTCATTGCCCTGACAATAAAATTCAACTTTGCCCTTGTACTTTCCCAGGCTTCTCGAATATCCGCGGTATACCTTCAGATGCATTTCTCTCACCTCCCCTCAACTAAACCACTTAAAAAATGCAATTCTTTATTCTACCGTATACACGAAACACACGCAATAAAGAGTATACATTTACACATAAAAAAAATGGTGGATACAAGTAGTAAGACGATTTCGAAGAAGTTCGGGCGACCCGAGGTGAATCGGGCTTGGTAACTTTAGGGCGATTTTTGTTTTATAATTTTAAGTGGCAAAAACACCCATATAAATGAATTCTAGGAAACACCGGAGTTTTTGAAGCATTTTTTGTTGATATTCTAGGTGGATAAGGCTTTGAGAAAAATGTCTGTATTGCCAAGAATACCGGGTGTCCCAAAAAAAAGCACCGCCCTCTGGCGGTCTGGGGGAAACTTAGGTCAGGATGATTTTATGCCATTCGAAAGCCCGCGAAAAGGCGAGAAAACAGGTGGGCTTTATTTTCTAAAATTTATTATTATTCCGATATTCAACGTTTTTGTAAAAAAACAGGCAGCTTTTCAATAGGAATTTCGCAAATAGCATGCAGATCTTGCTTAAATCTGCCGTTTTAATGGTTTTCGGAGGTGAAATTCGCAAATAAAAATACATAATAAGGAAAATGAACCCTCCTTGTTTTCTCGACTTTTCGGGAGCTATCGATAGATACCTAAACCGTGGAAATCGGACACGACTGCGCGCCGCTGGAGGGAGGTGCTTTTTTGGGACACCCTGTATGAACGATTTTTGCTGATTTCTAGTGGAATATGACCAAGTAGCACCTTTAGAGAATTTAGGATTACTTTAGGGTTTTGATTACCGTATGCTACCGTAAGAATAGGGCGGAGCAAACTGTGTATAAGGCCCGTGATATGGTGGGGGAAAGCCGTCGAGCGGGGGGTTTTGTAGAAATTTGGCGGGGAAATTAATGCGAAAGCTACAGTAATCCCGTCAGATTTGCCAGAACACATGGTTAGAGCGCAATTGTCCCATTGACATTCAGCGCCGCCCATCTCGGGAATTCACCGATGGGCAGGAAGATGAGAGCGGCCGTGTTCATGTAGAGAATGGTTAGGAAGAGCGTTTCGACGGACAGGATTAACCCGATGAACATCTGGAAAATGTTGATACATTAATGGATAAGACTCGCGAAAGACACGTTTGAAGTTAAGGTAAGCCTAAGCCAAGTCTAAGCCAAAGCTAAGCCAAGCCTAATCCTAAGCCTAGGCCTAGGTCCTGGGATATGCGCACTCAACGCACCATGTCCGATACTTTGACCATGCCCGACCCGAAGACGATGGTGATGGGGCGGGTGCCAACCGGCAGGACGAAGGCGAACGAGCAGGCCAGCGTGGTGGGCAGCATCAATTGGAACGGGTGGATCTCGACCTCTTGAGCCTAAAAAAGGGGTTGTAGGTCGCTCAAAAAATCTCTGCGAGGTTTCCCGAGCTGTGCTAGCTCTCCGAGCCTGAATTTTAGGGGAACGCTGCTGAGCTACCCATCAGAAATCGTACTATTAGAACGAAAAAACGTGACGAGACGTACCAATGTCGCGACGATGGGCACAAAAATGGAGGCTGTGACGGTGTTGGAGCAAATGTTGGTGACGACCATGGCAATGGTATTATGCACAACGCCTGCAGCGCCCACGAAACATCTTCGACAGATAGGGCATGTGCAATCGAGCATCAGCGATAGACCCGACTCTTTTACGCCTGCAAATATGTTTAATAGGCAGAAGAGCAGCTTTCCGGTTTTAGCACGCGACCGGAAATAGGAAAAGATTGCTATTTGGTCAATTTCTGTGCTAAAATCCTTTGGGATGTCGTGAAACACAAGAAACTCAAGAAATCTTATACTAATCAAACAATTAATTTTGTCAAAACTTACTAACAGCAACGCGAACCCCTCCGCCCAACAACAAAACGACGCTCCACGGAAAGGGAATTTGCATGGCCGGCCAATCCATGAGTCGGGGCGGCCCTTCTTCACCTCTTCTGCAAATAACACTTTTTATGTAATTTTACAGCTAGTAAATATAAGCCCAGCTCTCTAAAAGACCCACCTGGCTTCAGTATCCTCAGCGAATCCGGCTGCTCGGCGGGCAGTACGAACAACAACATTGACACCAAGATTGCGGACGTCGCATCAGTATAGAATCTGTAAAATCGCGAAATAAACTAAATAAGCGGCATTATTACGCTACATTCCAAAAGCTCACCCTTCGCAAAATATTTCCGAATCCCGGCACAATCCCAGTTCCTGCCCATCCACAACGCCAGCAACAGCGCGAGCAGAACATCACCGACTTTTCCGCGTAACTGAAGAGATTCAATAACGCATTTCGGGTAATTTAGCCACCTCGTCCTCGGCAACTTCTCATAGCGATCGTGCAGCATCTTGGTGACGTGCTCGTCTTCTTCGGGAGCATCCTGGAAAAGATCGGGGGTTTTTTTCTGTGATTTTTGCGTTGAATAGCTAGTTTTACCGTAATGATTCCGTTAAAGGGCATAAATTCTAAGTACCCGAAGGAAAAAAGCCACAACGTCGTCCAGCAGGCCATCAGACAGCACAACATCAGCGGAACGGCGAAGAAGATCCAGGAAATGTAGTTCAGGGAGCCGTCCTCGTCGGGGAATAGACTAAAAATTAGTTTTGATGTATAATTATTTGATTGACGAATGTAGGTTGTTATATGACTTGAGTCGCCACCGACTTGCGTCGGCGAAAATGCAAATGACTTGAGTCGGCAACGACTCGCATCTAAAAAATTATGAGTCGGAAAGGACGGATTGAAATGTGCAACGATTCAATTCGTGAACGACGCGGAAGTCGAAAAACGACTTGAGTCGGAATGGAAATCAGTCGGATGGAACGACTTGAAATCGCGACGACGCAAGTCTACGACGACTCGATCGTTGCCGGTTTCAAGTCGTCGGAAGTGAATTTATGCAAATTATATGTTCATGGAAATCACATTTTGATCGTCAAACGGCTATTCTTGTCTGAACAGAGAGACAACGTCGCACCACTCTTTACTCTGACCGGATTGGACAAGAGATCAGGTCCTAACCGACTCTCTTCCATAGAAAGCTGTATCAAAACCGTGAAACTAGCGGACAAAGCGCCGCTTCAGCGCTGCGCGATTTGATCCCCTATTTGATTTTGCAGCATAACTTTAGAAAATAAATAAATCTTATTAAACCGTGTAATGATATACTCAGAATAGTATGGCACTTCAAAATTAACGTTTTGATGCTCCCATGTACCTCCAGAAGCTCCACAGGCTCCACGAGCACCAGACTCCCTGGGCTCATAAAAACGAACTTTGCCAATTCCTTCATTTACGGCAGTTTTGATACAGCTTTCGATGGAAGAGGCTCAGTGAGACCTGATCTCTTGTCCAATCGTAGCGTAAAGAGTGGTGCGACGTTGTCTCTCTGTTCGAACAAGAATAGAGTTGGTCGATCAAAATGATTTCCATGGTTTATAAATTTTCATAAAATTCGCTTCCGACGACTTGAAAACGCGAGCGACTTGAGTCGTCGGCGACTTGCGTCGGCACGATTTCCAGAATCGTTCCATCCGACTGAGTTTCCATTCCGACTCAAGTCGTTTGGCGACCTGCGTCGGGTTGCGTTTCAAATCGCGCCGATTTTTAAATCGCAATTCTGCGGTTTCAAAAACATACGATTCAGTTCGTCAGTCGACTCCAGTCGTTTGCCAGGTGGATCGTCAACATTTCAATCCGTCCCTTCGGGTTCTGCGTTTTCCGATGCAAGTCGGTGCCGACTCAAGTCATATAACAACCTGGTGATTAAGACATGGCTTCTCTCTCTCTCTCTCTCTCTCTCTCTCTCTCTCTCTCTCTCTTTTTCTCTCTTTCTGCTCCAAACCGTGTATTATAGCCTTTAGCTCGACTCACTTTGTCAACTGGCCGAGCATGACCGGATTCGAAGTGTCAAAGTGGCAGTCCCAGTTCCCCCCATATTATTGCCGCCGAGCCCAGATCGATAATACGAGTCCGGTCGACATCTTCTTACAGCCCAACCTAGGCGGCATAAGGTGGCTGCCTCCGGAACTCCGCTTACCCATTTATCTCTGATTTGGGTGCCAGATTGAACGACTCGACGAGTTGGCCGATGACCGATTGTCCGATTGCACCATCGCTGGCCGTTGTTGCCGTGTTCGAGATGAACATACTGTAAAAATTAAATTATTGACAATTTCAAAAATTTTTTTATTTTCAGTTTATGCAATTTTCATTTATTTATATTTGTTAGGGCAGTACACGATTACACTGGGAGCTATTAGCTTACGGCTTGCTAAAACTCTCCCCCGCTAACAGTCCAGTTCCGATTCTTGGTCACCCCTCGTTCGCAGCGAGCCTACAGATGCACTACTACGTTCCCCTCCTATCCACACCCTTCCACACACATCGGTGACCGTATTGGCCCGAAGCGGATGAGTGTCTGTGGATGGGCGTCAGACTGGGTGTATGTGTATATCTATCTGTTTGCCACTATCGCTCTCTCTCGCTCTCTCTCGCTCTCTCTCTCCTGCTTTGCAATTCCCGAAGCGATCTCCTTCAGCCCACAGGACAGGGCAGTCGCGCCAATATCAACCACAGAATCAACAAATCTGTCGCGCCACCCGGCGGACCCTCTCTTCGACTCCATGGAAAAGCCCCCGGTCAGCTGGGTAAAAATCTGATGAAAATTTGAGATCAGGGCGATCAGGGGAATTGCTTAACGCTAGCAATCCTGATTAACGGGAACCGCCAAAATCCCGACATTCAAAATCCCGAGAGCCAGAAACCACCAATTTTAAAACCATTTATGTGTAAAATAGCCGAAAATATCACATTTTGGCTGTCGGGATTTTGAATGTCGGGATTTTGCCTGACGGGATTTTGTTTTTGGGATTTTGCATATCGGGATTTTGGCTGTCGGGGATTATGGCTGGAATTACTGGTTAACCTAGGGATATGGACAAGAATGGCTAAAAACTACGCTGATTAAGCATAGTTTAGGTACACCGGGGCTACCCTAGAAACTACGTTATTCCGGGCAACTTCCCAGACTCGCAGATGGACCGTAATATGCCACCCAAAGTCAGAGGACCCACCCCGCAGAAGGTTGAATCTTGTAGTGTGCTTGCACTTTTTTGCTTTTTGCCGCAATGCTGTTAAAAGCACAAGGAACACTGGGCAACATCTTGCCCAAGTGCAGCGAAAGAAACGAACTTCTGTCCTGGTCAACAAGGCTTTTCCCTGATTTCTCTCTCTTTCTCTCTCTCTCTCCCTCTCTCTCACTCGGCCTGCCTCTCCCGCTTTCTGTCTTTTTTCTTCTGCTTGGGTTGTGCGTCACGGGGCCACTGTGAGAACAGCTTGGAGGAGGAGAGAAAGATCGTTGACCTGTTGATCAGGTAAGCGGGTAATAGCGTAAGCTCAAACGTAAAAAACGAAAAAGCAGCGCGTA